ATATGTTAGGAGCTACCTGAAACAGTGAGACATTCATCAAAATACTGCATACAAAAACGATGTTGCGATGGTGTTATTGAAGCATCGCAACTTTTGTATACAGGAACTAAATTAGGGTTAATTCTAAATTGTCAATAATGTCCCTAATATTTATTTTAAAGTTCAAATTAAATAATATTAATTAAAACTAAATAGAATTTAAACCATTAAAATAATTAGAAAAAATAAAAAACTAATAATTCTATTTATTTTTTTCTAAATACTTTGAAAAAAATCAAAAATAAACGGACTCAATATAAATAAAATTCGAAAGCCCAATTGCTTGAAAAAATAAACCGAGTGCACAAAAATGATCAGCGAGAAATAAACGACTCGAAAAAATACAACGTTTGGTCGATTTTAAAATAAATTTTCACTAGCTGGGATGTTCGAGGCGTCTTGGACCTTTCCCTTCTTGAGATGGCTCTCAATGCGTTCTCCTACTAGAACCAAGTCAACAAAATTCAATGTCCCATTACCCATCATCTTTTCCAGGTAAGGGTCTTGTAAGGAATCTATGAACATGTCAACCAATTCTCTGTCTAAGAGCGGTGGTTGAACGCGGGCAGCTACCTCTCTCCATCTCTGAGCATACCCTCTGAAGGACTCGTTTTCCTCTTGAGATAAGCCTTGCAACTGTATGCGATTGGGAGCCACATCAAGATTGTATTGGTATTGCTTCACAAAGGCGTTGGCTAAGTCCAACCACGACTGGATGTGGTTACTCTCTAGCTGCATGTACCAACTCAAAGACGCTCCACTCAAACTGTCTTGAAAACAGTGAATCATAAGTTTGTCATTGTGAGCATATGAGGTCATCTTTCTGCAAAACATTACCAAATGTTGCTTTGGACAACTATCTCCTTTGTATTTCTCAAAATTCGGCATCTTGAACTTTAGAGGTATTGCAAGTCCGGGTACCAAACACAGGTCTAAGGCATTTAGATCAGAAGTATCACGCCCCATCATGGTTTCAATTTTCTCTTCCAACACACGACATCTTTCAGCAAACTCAACATCCTGAGGTTGTTCATTATTCCCCACTAAGCTTGCCCCTTGGGAATTCAGTGCAGTGAATGGGAAGCTATGGTACTCAACAGCATCAAGAGACGAGGTATGTTCATCCCGAATAGTGTGACGCTCTTGTATAACCTGGTCTTCAACAGGAATCCGCACAGGTTGAGGTATGCCGTTCTCAGTGGCTATAGGCCGTTGAGATTTGTCCTCTCTCCTGGTCAAGACTAACATAGCTCCCATAAGTTGGTCCAACTGGTTCTTCATCAAGTCAACATCTGCTCTTGACACAAACTGGTTCTGTTCTTCTGAGCTCATGATTCTTCCCAAAGTTGCTTCAAGTCCGATACGGGTGTCGGGAAATCAACTGCAGATTATGGACAAAGGAGGGATGCGTTTATGGCCGAGAAAATGATATGCAATGCAAATGAAATGCAAATGCAATGACATGCAAATGCAATGCAAGCACAAACAGGATCACAGGTTCAATCACATTCTGAGGTCAAACAGAAGAACGGGTAAATAACAGATATCTCTGATCAAAGGAACCCCATAGGTAGGCTCTAAACGGGTAGGTGCCCAGAGTCATGGATCTTTTCAAAGATATTATTACCATGACAAAGATTCATCCGATAATAATACCTTTGAAGGATCTTTTCTAGGTGAAGTTTTCGCGTCGTCCCACGAGGAAGACTCATCGCGAGTCTCTACTACACAACCAACGAGTCCAAGGTTTCTTAAAGGGACCTCAGAGTCATAGATCGAGGTTGAAAATATCATTGTCAGAATAACAATACGTTCAAGGGATCTCATCTGATTGGGGCGTTCGCATCAACCCAAAAAGGAGTGACCCTCATGAGTCAACACTACCAACCACCATGGTAAATGGGTAAAAGGTCCTTAGAGTTATGGACTCAACCTCAAAGACACTACTGCAATGGCAAAGACTCACCACAATAATAACATCCTTAAGGGAATCAACTCTAAGCAGGGTTTTCGCTTCCTCCCAACGAGAAATACTCCTCGAGGGGTTCCACTACACAACCACCATTCTAATCCTATGTTTTTTCTCGGACTTGGGTGTAGAGCCATATCACAAAGTTCCAACAATTATAGAACCCCAATAGTGTCACAAGAATAATAATAAGATATATAAAAGCAAACAAGCAATTAAATAATAAGAGAAGATAAATACAAGAAAGGATCTAACTCTCGCGAATCGAGTCAAGTTAGGCTTGACTCTCTCTAGCATAGGGCTATGCAATAACTTCCCCAGCAGAGTCGCCATCTGTCGTACCTCGAAAAATACGATCCTCGCGATGGACGCGGAAAATACTGTTCGAAACAGAGTCGCCACCGAACTTTATTCATTCCAAGGGAGGAATAGGAAAATATCGATAAAACCTTTAAAGGGATAAGAACATGGTCATCGCAACCAACATTCTAGGTTCGGGAGTCGATTACATAGAGGGAAGGTATTAGCACCCTCTATATCCGTTGTACTCAATGGGAACCTCTTGATTCGATTCGCGAGAGAAAGTGGATACGCTTATTTATCTTCTAAAGGAATTGCTTGCTAATGGGAAAATGAGGTAGTTTTATGATAGGGTGCTCGCCAAGGATTGGGGCCCTTGTGCCTACGTATCTTCACTTGTAAGAAGTGGAAAATCAGAGCATTCGTAGCTCGTGGGACTACGGGAAAAAGAGGGGATTGTGCTCGCCAAGCTCATCGTAATCTTGTGCCTACGTATTCTCATTGATAAATGAGAAATCAGAGCAGTCGTAGTTCGGCTAACTACGGTTTATGGGTTTGGTAAACGAACGAGTGTTTAGGTCGCAATCTAACTGCTAAACATTGGCTTGTTTGCTCGCTAGGGGAGGCTGAAGCTCGAGTTTGTTATGCGCGGAAGAAGGGACTAAACAATGTTCTTGGTAAAAGGTGTATTTGAGTCGTAGGTCGCACGAGGGCGAGGGATTAGGTTTTGGGAAGTATCAAACACACGGGGGCGAGAACAGAGAGTTTAATATGTTAAGTATTTAGTTTAGAAAAGATAAGTTTGAATAGGTTCTAGGGTTTTTGTCGTGCAGGGGCGAGGTATTTGGATAGATGTATCATATGTTTAGCTAGAGGTGACGATTACCTGAAGCTTAAGAAAGACTTCTCGAGCCCCAAGTAATCGAGAGAGTGAACCAAAGACTTAGAGCTCTCTCTTTTTCAACCTCAAATGCGAAAGGATAGAATTGAGTATGGTTTGAATAAGTAGATCGGATGACGATTACTCGAAGCTTAAGAAAGACTTCTCGGACCCAAGTAATCGGGAGAATGACCTAAAGACTTTGAGCTCTATCTTTTTCATCTAGAAAGGAAGGAAATGGGTACAGTTCGAGTAGGTGGATCGGATGAAGATTACTCGAAGCTTAAGAAAGACTTCTCAGACCCAAGTAATCGGGAGAGTGAACCAAAGACTTGGAGCTCTCTCTTTTTCATCTAGAAAGGAAGGAAATGGGTACGGTTCAAATAGGTGGATCGGATGACGATTACTCGAAGCTTAAGAAAGACTTCTCGGACCCAAGTAATCGGGAGAGTGAACCAAAGACTTGGAGCTCTCTCTTTTTCAAACTCAAATGCGAGAGGATATAATTGAGTATGGTTTGAATAAGTTGAACGGATGACGATTACTTGAAGTTTAAGAAAGACTTCTCAGACCCAAGTAATCGGGAAAGCGAACCAAAGACTTGGAACACTCTCGTTTTCATCGCGAAAGGAGTTGTTTGGATGGCGTGTGATTAAAGTATTTTAACAGATGAGGATTACTCGAAGCTTAAGAAAGACTTCTCGGACCTCAAGTAATCGGGAGAGTGAACCAAAGACTTGGAGCTCTCTCCTTTTCTCATCTAATATTATGAAAGATGTTTGATATAATTAGAGTGTATTAATTGGATAACAATTATTCGAAGCTTGAGAAAGACTTCTCAGACACAAGTAATCGGGAGAGTGAACCAAAGACTTGGAGCTCTCTCTTTTTCATCTAAGTGTTTAGGAAAATAGATTTGAATTTGTTTATCGTTTTTAGAAGACAATTGTTCAAGCTTAAGAAAGACTTCTCGGACCCAAACAATTGGGAGAGAGAACCAAAGACTTGGAACTCTCTCTTTTTCATCTTTTATTGAAATTGTATTTAAGTAGTTATTAAGTATTTTAATTTGATTTAGAGAAAATACTCGATGTGAATCGAGGTTTGAAATTAGAGTTTTAACGTGTACACTAGCAAAGTGGGCTAGTCTTCTAAGTGACCGATTAGAAATAATTGATCAAATAGGTATCACTGTAAGGAAGCCCAGGATTAAGCTTTAAAATGTTGTGTCTGTGACCAAAAGGTTGATGGCGAGACTTTAAAAGCACTCGACTTACAAGGGTAGAAAATGGCTCGATAAATCGAGAATTTATTTTTAAAAATTGTTTTGAGGCATTAAATCATAAAAGATAAAGTTATAAATTATATTACATTTTGAGGGGAGTGGGATACATTTGTCAAATGGGGATAGAATATAATGAAATAGATAAATCGAACTAACCCGAATGAGTGTGTGTTATAGCGCGACAAAAGTCAACTAATGCGTAAGAACTTCTAATAGCATAATAGACATAGAAATGTCGAAACCATGGATTAAGATTCTGATTTAATAAAATAAAGCGATAATTCAAAATTATTTACAACTTTTAAAAATTATGTACAACATACATGAGAAAGAATTAATGTAAATGGTCCTTAAATCAAATATCATGATCAAGCCCCCAAAAAAATAATAACAATAATTGTATTAAAATTACTTGCTAAGAACTAAAGATAGAACTAATAATAAAGCAAAGTCCTAGAAATAGACTATTCACACATGAATACCAAATCAAAGTTAATTTTCATCATACAAAATGTAACAAATCAAAGTTAATTCTCAGCATACAAAATGTAATGAATGACAACTGATACACTGTCCATTGCCTCTCGCACAAAAACCGTCATACAAACGTAGACGCACATTGGCCCTATATTTACAATATAATGAATCAACCACATGCTCTTTAATTGAAACAAATACCAACGAGATACGCAATTGTATGATAAGGAAAATAATTCTTAAATCCTACAGTGGAAACTAACATATAAATGTTTATGGCAAAACCAAAATGTAACAAAACAGCAATCTCACAATTCTAACACACATATGTAAAAGAAGAACACAGTAAACTGCAACTTGTAATTCTTTCAAATTTTTAGTAAATACAAACATTCTTATTAATGATGGCTATTGAAATATAAAATGAAGAACACAGTATGCAAAAACTGAATCAATTTTGTATATGAAGTCTAAGCTACGAAATCTACATGAGACACCTCGATTAAAACACACAAAATGGCCACGAAGCAATAACGAACATACAGATTCCGAATGCGACATTAACACACAACTTTCAATTTTCAAAACTAAAATTGACACAACACAATCGACACAACAGTGCATAATAACACCGCATTGTAAATTCCCAGCAAATCGAGAATCATGAAATTAACAACAATAGCGCAACAGCAGATACACAACAGCTGCACCAAATTGAAGACAAAACAATTTTTCAATAACCAAAATACGGCACAGTAAAAACATCCAAATAATTAAATCAAGCTGAAGCAACATAATAGATTCGTTCGAAATAGACTCGAAAATGTTACCAATACGCAGACTTCCATTGTTGCAAGCTGTTGCGGCGCCTATTCCAAACGAACGCAGACTTCCATTTTCCATTGTTGCAAGCTGTTGTGGCGTTTGTTCCAAACGAATCTGAGTTCGCATTTTTGCCGAGCTTAGACTTTCGTAACGTCAACAAAACTGCGATTATGGACCTGCTCTTAGTGCTACTGCGGAAGGGGCATCATTGTTGAAGTCGGACTTGAAACCAGAGCCTTGCCTTGTCGGGTTTGTTGTGGAACAGCAGGGTGAAATCATTCCTACCGCAACCCATTGACTAATCCATCATTGAAAAGCATAAACTAATTTCCTGCCTTAAGCTCATATATAAATAGCAAACTGTTATAAATAGGGATTTAAATGCAAGGCTGAGCTATAAAGAGGACATGAAACCTTGTTATATTATCCAAAGCAGTAGGCCACGACATCCCTGTTTATAAGGCTAGTCATAGTGATTAGCTTGATACGTCAAACACCAGGTTTTTACCTATAGATCACTTATTTGTACATCTTTTAAGCTATGATATTATAAGAACTAAACACGCAAAACTTCGAAACAAAAAGAAAAGACTAAAAGTCGTAATGTTATCAACGACAAAATTCCATATCTCAGAATGATGATTTAAGTGCAAGATGTTGAGAGCCAATCATAACAGAACAGCAACAGTTCAAAGTGATATTTGATCCAAGCCTTTTTTAGAGACCGAAAGCATAACGGGGATCTACCGAAATCGCAGCAGGTTCGAACCAGAAAACTTAACCTTCCATATAATAGCTAACATCAATTGTAACCCAAATGGCATATTGAGACATGACAGCAGTGATTGAAATCATAAATTTCTAGCAACCAAATCCAACCCAATCAAATTCGATGCTACAAAATCTTCAATCGACAATGATTTATGCTATAGGATCGAGAGCAGAGCCGGGAAATGTAAACACAGTATTGTTGTATTTTCGAGCCAAACATGCAGCCAAGTGGTAGTCATGATTGTTGTTGTGAAATAGTGAAGAACCGGAAGGCACACCATTCTCTTATGTTGTCACGACGATGCTTGTTGTTGTTATTGCAGATGTGGTTGCTAAAGAGTTACACGGATGAACAACTTGGTGTTATCACTTGTTGATGTAAATATGCTCCAGCAGATGGATTTCGAGGGTGTCACATCAAGACCAAATCGGAGTCAAGTCTTGAATCAACTCCCAACCATCGATTTCCAGTTATGATGTGAGTTGAAACCTGGTTGTTGTGTTGTTGTTCTGAAATAAACCGAGTTGCTGTTGCTTCTGGCACGTTGGTTGTGTTATTCTGCACCCAAACCGTCCCCTCTATTGCAGAGCCAATCCTCCCCTTTGCAAGAGGTGATGAAGCGTCATTACAAACCAAGTCAGTATGTAATCCAAGTTTACGATCTCTTAAGTCGTGTATGATTCAACTCAGGTCCATATATGCCGCAGAATCGAAGCATATCGAGAAGCAACAAAAATTATTTTTTTCGGAAATGTTCATCAATCATCACTGCGTTTTGCTGGAAGAGAACCTTGGCGTTGTAGTTGCAGAGAGAGCTCGGAGTCGTTGCCAATGTTGTTGACATGAATATGAAAGCAGCGTAATCTTTACGAAATAGAAGCCAAAATCATACACGAGCTTCTGTTGTAGCTGTGGTTGGACTCGACAAAAAATGGTGCCACCGAGTTCACGTTGCAGAGTCGAAGGTATTGTCGTTACAACTTCTGTTGAGTCAAAATCGCTGATTCAGCCTCAACAAGTCAGAACCTGGTGAGGTTGTTTTCGGTGATGGTGACTCGAAGCGTGTTGTACATTAGCTTGAAGATGACGTAAAGGTTGTTATCATCGAGTTCAAATGTTGCAGAATGTTGTAGAGTTGTGTTCTCCCCTGAGTCGTTGTCTTCGTGGTGGAGATGTGAGCAAAAACCGTGGGTCTGTGTGCGTTGGACGAAGTGAAGCACGGCGGCCGGAATGGTTGTTTGAAGATGATGAGAGTAACGATAATGGCGGATTTGGGTTTTGAGAAAGGGATTTTACAGCGAAATTGTTGATTATGGGGGTGAAGAAGATGGAAGGTTGACGGAGAAGTAGGAGAAGGGGGTTCTTGGAGACGGCGGCTGGTGAGTTGAGAGTGAAGGAGAGAGCTCAGAGGTGGAAGAAGAAGATCACGAGTTGCGGCTAGGTTTTTAGGTTTTTCCAATCCTCCCCTGAACAGTAGCAAAAATCCCAATTTATATCCAATTTCTCAAAACCCTAAATGCCAACTCCTCATCCGTGTCTTTTTTTTATTTTCTTTTGCTTAATCTTTTAATTCATTTTAATTTTAATAAAGAAACAATTCTAACTAAATTCCAATTAATTAATTTTAATTAAAAAAAAGTTAATTCTGTTTTAGTTTTTAAATCTATTTTCTAACTTAAATTAAATTAAATTATACTCTAATCTAAATTAATTAATTAATATTAAAATTATGTTATATTAAAATTATTTAAAATATATATATATATATATATATATATATATATATATATATATATATATATATATATATATATATATATATATATATATATATATATATATATATATATATATATATATATATATATATATATATATATATATATATATATATATATATATATATATATATATATATATATATATATATATATATATATATATATATATATATATATATATATATATATATATATATATATATATATATATATATATATATATATATATATATATATATATATATATATATATATATATACAAAAATAAATGTCAGGTGGCACGTTTTTATTGAGCTAAAAAGGTAAAAAAAAATATTTTTGCCGAAAAAAATGTTACGTCGTACAAGCGATGCGAATTGAAAAATAAGGTCGAGCGAATGAAATTTTTTAAAACAGGTAGGACAAATTTGGGGTATGACAATCATATATATAACACACCAATTAATCATGTTAATTAAATTAAATATTATGGGACATTCACATTCCAACACCAAGTATACATTCTTCACCATTAAACATCATCCCTGGACCCATCATGATCAAAGGGATCCTTCAAAACATCAACATTAGATGGAACCATAAAATTAAAACACGTTCTGTCACGCTCGTTGGCCCATTCGCTTAGCGAAGCCTCAGCGAACGCTCGCTACTAGCTCGCCTAGCGAACTCGCTAGCGAAGGCAGACAATGGCTACTGGAGGTGTTCGCTACCTAGCTTGCTTAGCGAGGCCTTAGCGAATGCTTGCTACCCTGCTCGTTTAGCGAGTTCTGCGATACTTCAAACCCTCACTATCCAAAAATGTCACCTTGATTAATTCCAAGCCTATCATTCTTTATCCATTTTCTACCTATTATTACTACAACTATTATACGCTACTCTAATCAATTGTTCCTTAAATTTTCTCTCTAGAACCAACACTCATGTTCATCACTAATACCACAGAACATTACACAGGATTTCACCAATTTCATAACAACATAAGCACAAATTCATCAATGGCAGCAACAATCATCAACATGCCAATCATAGTCATAAAATCCCTATGGGGTTAAGGAATCCCCTCTACCCAATTCATGTAAAAATACCAATCATATCCAGTTTCTCCCCCCTTACCTCGACTAGTTGATCCGATATGTTATTGAAAGCAACGCTTTGATCAACATTTCTTTTTCTTATTAGGAACTTATGTGTCTTTACTTGCCTGAATTTCGTCTTATACGCTCCATAAAACCATAAAAACTTTAAGTAAACAATACACCCAAAACTAGTGTCTTGGGACAAGTTTGGCCGGTCCCACAAGAAAACCTGTGGAGGGAGGTCAGAGGTTGTCCGCGCAAAAATTGATCGCGACTTTCTATGTCTAATACAACCTAACTGCAAGTGCACAGTCTATCGCGTAGTAATAATAGATATCGATCCCACAGGGACTCGTAATCAAACTAGTGTTCTCGGGAGTTACTATGTTTAGCTAGGTAGATAATGTTTGAGGGAATAAGATTGTCACTAAAGGGAACTAAGAATGTTAATTAAATTATAATTGATCGAATCGATATGCAGTAATTGTGTTCTTCAGGGATTTGACAAGTTACCAGCCTACGAAATATTTTTCAGAGTTTATTTAAGCAGAAAAATGGTGATCTGAAGACTCTCGCCTCACGATGGTTATTGACGCTAATCATAATTCTAAGGGCCAAACGTACACTTTCGTGTCCCATTCGGGTTTTAAATTATTTTTTGCAAATCTCTAAGTTCTAATTCATTTTAAAGTGCTTTCGCTGTTATTAAAATGAATGACTAGTGTTTACTATCAGGCCTTGCCGTAACTTTCGCTTGTTGGTTCGTACCTTAATTGATTTCCCACTTTCGTGGCAAAACTACTTTTAAATAAGTTCTCGCTTTCGCGACGAAGTTTATTCAGTAAATTAATTTTAAACACTCAGACCATAAACAACTTTTGAAAAAGACAGTTTTCAACCGGTTATTATCAAATCCCTTTCGAATTATTACTACATATCGATTACTTAAATTTAGCTAGACATGGATTTGGGAAAGGTAAAACATAAATGAAAACAATAAATAATAGCATGCATCAGAATAAAAACTGGAATTACGATTAAAATGAGAAACCTGTAAATATTCCAATTGACCTTTGGGCAGATCCTCCACAGATGTTGGCAGTATTCTGGTCTTTGTGCCAATTTGATCGTACAACGGAAATAAAAATTACAGAAGGAATGAAAGGCAACAAAAAATAGGAAAGAAAATAAAACTGAACTTTTGCTCTGAAAATGGAATTGGGCAGCACTTCGTTGTATGAATGCGGCTCTCTTTCTGAGTCCCCCTTCTCCCCCTTTTATAGAAATGGAATTCTAACGGTTATAACTTGAAGAAGGTGGACTTTGAGGCAGAATTATCAGGGAGTAGTGGTCCACTATTTGGGACTTGGAACTGTTTCTTTTGCGTGCATTTGAAGTGGGGCGTTTTTGCCTGCATGACGGTCGTCACAATGTGTGACGGTCATCACCCGTGTGACGGTCGTCATGGAGCTGTGACGGTCGTCACAGCAGCAAAA